GATTTTTACTTAAATTCCAAGTTTATTTTCCTCATCCAAACATAATGTAAGAGAATCAAAAATGAAGGAGGATGGTCAAAAAGAGGACAAATAAAAATAGGACTACAAACTTTTTTTGGTTTCATACAGTCCCTTTTAATTCAGAGTGTTGTTTTGTTTAATTCATTCAATCTAATGGTAAAAAAAGGTGTGTGAGGAGAGATTTTTTAATGTTTATAGAACACAGGCTGGTACAACATATGTTATTATACAAATGAAAATATTTTCATTTTTCTAGCGTCTCACTATATGTATAATGATATATGGCATATGTACCCATATTCTGAGTACATTGAAAAATTTCTTGTGCGTGACATGCTAATAAAAGTGAAAATTACCTTCCCAAAATAAGATCTTGAAAATAAAAATAACTTAAAGTAGTTTTTGATTTTTAGTATTTTGTATACATTTTGTTTGACATTTGTTTTACAACATTGCAAACACTCTTCCTTCACTCTTTTATATCCATTTTTTCTTTAAATGCTTGTGTTAGTAGACAAATTTAACTTTTTAATGCCATTCACCAAAGGATTCATGCTGCCCTGGCCTTGACCAAATGCTTCTCTTTTTTTTTTTTTTTTAAGTTCTTCCGATTTATCCCACTGGTCTTTGACAAGCAGTTTGGCACTTTTTCGGTGTAAAGCAGTTTGGCATTTGTTTTATAAATGAGTATTGAATAAATGAACGGTTTTGATTATAAACTTTATACACGGTAAAAATTTGTAAATAATATGGTCAGATTCGGGTTGACCCAACTCAAGTTGCATCCTTATCGCTTAATCATCTATTTTCATGAGGATCAAACAGTCCATTAAACGGGTTAAAATAAATGATATGGTGATTCGCTGTAAAATGTAATACTGATGATGAAGAAGAAATGAATATGTTTTATGAGAATTAACTGCGCACATGCGGTTGCAAACATGTGGTTGCAACGAACTCTGGTTTTCTGTCTCTCCATTGGGACATGACATAATAAAAGAGCAGTGATTGCGATGGGCCAATTGTAGTCACCAAGATGGCGAGGATAATGGGAGGCTGAAAAAGACAGAAACGCAGACGCCAGACGAGACGTGTGTTGATTAAACCGTTTTATTTCAGCGCCATCCCCACATCCCATCTGCATCGGGTCGACCCAGCTCAGACACGCGACTACTAGTATAATTGCTGCATAAATGCATAAGCTTTTAATGTTTTTCCTCTTCCCCTCCTCTCCTCTGTTTTCATGAAAGCAAAACAAAAGCAATTCATTCTGAGCTTGGGCCTCGTTTGGCACATGCCATAATACTACTATTTAATACGAATCCGGAGGTTCGATCCCACATCTTAAAAACCTCCCCATTTTTCTCTAATTCTCTCTTATTAGTATCATATACATACATACATACATACATACATACATACATATGTGTATATGTTGTTTATTCCTCTGCCAAAAACTAGCATTTTGATTGTCTCTTTGTTTTCTGTTTGGTTTGTCATTACATTTGCCGAAGCAGAGGTGGCAGAGGGGAGGTGAAGACGAGCTAATAATAATTTAGAATAATTGATAAAAGAAAGGGATGGAACTTCTGCAGCTGTTCGTGACTGCCTCAATTCCGGTGTTGAAAGTGCTTTTGATAACAGCACTTGGCTCTTATCTTGCTCTTGATCGTGTCGATATTTTGGGGGAAGTTACTAGAAAGAACTTAAACACTGTAAGTTAATAACACTACACCGCTTCTTCATTCAATTAATTTATTTCTCTTGTGTTGGACTGTTTTCTTACTGGTATTTGCGTTTTGTGAACCAACGAACGAACGGACAGGTTGTATTTTATGTGTTCAGTCCTGCTCTGGTGGGTTCCAACCTTGCGAAGACAATTACATATGAAAGCATGGTTAAAATGTGAGTTCTAATTACTTTGTTCGATCTACATACATACATATATACATATATGTATGTATAATCATGTTCATGTTGTAATAATTATTATGTGTACAGGTGGTTCATGCCAGTGAATATCCTCATCACGTTTATAATTGGTTCCGTGCTCGGATGGATTCTCATCCAATTAACAAGGCCTCCTGCCCATCTGCGAGGCCTTGTCTTGGGTTGCTGTGCTGCAGGTAATTCAACGCTCTACCCTCACAGTCAAAAATAAATTTGAATTTAATCTCATTTCTAATTCTAAATCAAAGCTGATAAATACTCAGTTTCGCGTTTTATCAATCTTTAGAGATGCTGATGTTAACACTTAACAGGAAATTTGGGTAACTTGCTCCTCATTATAGTCCCAGCAGTCTGTAAAGAAAAAGGGAGCCCGTTTGGAGCTCCTGATGTCTGTCACACATATGCTATGGCTTATGCTTCGCTCTCAATGGCGGTACATATTCCCTCTTCGTCTTGTTCTAATATTTTGGGTTTTATTGAAATATTCCTTTATCTAGCTTTCTACGATTCGAATTAACAATGGGTTGGGAAGCTGCTGCAAACAAGTTACAATCCAATCCTCTCATTCAAGTTGAAAAGGCGCAGTTACTGCGATTCGAACTCACGATTTTAATCGTTGATATCATCATACGTTTCATCTCATGTGTAGAACATATACAATTATACATACAAATTGTACTACCCCAAACGGCCAGGGCCACTTCTTAAATGGTGTTTGTGCGCGCCTGCTTGCTGTTTAGAATACATTTTTCTGAACACATTTTCTTCTGTCCTTCAATTTTCCTCTTGAATTCTAGCCACTGTTTCTCTTCGGTACAGTGTAGCTACCTTGTTCAGCTGTCGGGGATTCCTATCTTTGCTTTTTGTAATGCAATTGTGTTCATGCTTCAGATAGGAGCCGTTTATTTGTGGTCCTATGTATATAATATTGTGCGGATATCTTCAACAAGGGGCACCCAAGATTCTAATCAGTCCACGGAAAGGTCCCCTACATCCGACCAAGTAAGTTGCACTGAGCCGCTGCTTTCTTCAAAGGAATATGTCATAGTTGAGGAAAATGGGGATCAATATTCACTGCCATACACTGCTGTGCCTGAAGAAAAACCGAAGGTTGCTAACTCCATTAAACTACAATGATACTCATTCAATTTGATGCTTTGTTTAAGTATTTCCAACAAATCTATATTAACATTTGTTTATTGAGAAAATGTCGTTTTCTCAGAAATACTTAGAAATGTTTTAGTGTTAGACTGTCAATCTAGACGACTAATCAAATGAATGTCATTTGAATGTATGATCCAGATTCGCAATCTCACAATGTAACATGCCGGACATCTCTAACAAGAGAAGGTTGCCCTGTTTCTTTTCAATTTCTTACACTGCATATCTTTGTTGTTTTCCATGGCAGGTGACAACTTCAGGTAAACTAAAGCAACGTATAGTGATGGTGTTTGAAAAGATCAATCTGAAAACAATATTTGCCCCTTCAACTATTGGAGCGGTATGTCCTTTCGGCACTTTTATCCAGATTCAGCGCAATTTTATTGAAAAATTGGGCAAACTTAATCTTTTCCTGGTGTAGATTGTTGGTTTTGCAATCGGAGTCATTCCTCAGATTCGAAAATTACTGATAGGAGATGGTGCTCCTCTACGGGTGATTCAAGATACTGCTTATTTGTTGGGGTATAAAATTTATGCCTGAACTGTATCTAACCTTAGTGGTTTATCCATGATCTATGCACTTATTGGCAACTAATCTAGCTTCTTGTACTTAATACAGTTACATACTAGGGAAGATAACAACCATGCTTGGTCCTATAGTTGTACATATCCGTATGAATAATTTGGTTCTTAATTAGCATAAAAGTAGAATACTTGTCTGGTGTTGATCCCAACTTTACAACATGTTCAGACCAAATGGTTTTTGAATTTCGGCTCAAAAGACGAGCATGTTCTTTGTACAAAGGGTTTGTATCATTTTTTTTTGTTCGCTCAGCATCATTTAAAGAGACTTGTTCTTCATGATTACAGAGACGGAGCCATCCCAGCTCTCACCTTGATAATAGGAGGAAACCTGCTTAAGGGTAATAACTCATACAATTATATTAGTGTTGTACATAATTGTTGGTTTACTTTAGGACTTACTTCACATTGTTGTTTCAGGTTTGAGAGGGTCAGGGATTCAGAAATCTCTTGTTGTTGGCATCATAGTTGTTCGTTATGTTGCCCTGCCTCTTATAGGCATATTGGTTATTAAAGGGGCACTGAAATTTGGGTTGGTGCACTCTGATCCATTATATCTGTTTGTTCTTCTGCTTCAGTTTTCACTCCCACCTGCGATGAACATAGGTACGCTTGAGCAACAAAAATGTGCAATCAGAAGTTGCTCACTCACTGTATTTTGTAACAAATGTAAGTTTATTCTCAAGTATTGTTTATTGATCCTTTAAAATATGGCAGGAACAATGACGCAATTATTCGGAGCAGGAGAGAATGAATGTTCAGTTATCATGCTGTGGACTTATGCTTTCGCGTCACTGTCACTTACATTCTGGTCCGCCGCCTTCATGTGGATTGTGACGCGACTGTGAATCAAAATTTGACATGAGTTCTTTCTAATACAAGTGTAGGCAATTTGTCAGAAGAAATACTACTTGGCAAAACTGTAAACAAGGGCACTTTTTGGTCCTGTAATGTGTAATCTCAGAATTAAATACAAAGTTGAGGAATCCACTCTGCCAAATCAATTGTAAGTTGCAGCTGCAAATATGCTTGACCAGAAGAAATTGATGTGGTACGTGTTCAGACGCGGACAGTTTGTAGCTTGTAATGTTATTCCTTTTATAAATCATGAACGATGAAATTGTGGTTTAATTTTCAAAGCTATTGTCAAAGAAATGCTTGTAAACTTTTACACGTAGGCATGTCTTGGCATGTGATCGGGCATGTCATCCGAAAGTCATTGCCATGCCATGGGAACTTGGGAAGGCATAGGTAAGATTGGTGCAATCGGCAGCACATATTTCTGGAGGGTGTTTCCCCAATTTTAGCAACACAATTTGCGGTCAGCAGTCACTATTTTCCTAACAAATGTGCTTTTTACATCTTTCCAAACAAACATTTATTGTCAATGTTTGTTCATAGGGCAGGAACAATGACTGGTCAATTGATCGGAGCAGGAGCCCGTGGGTTTTCATTTGGCAAAGCTTAGTGGCCCGAATGTAAAACCGTACAGCAAAACGTGAGTTTTCATTAAAGCAAAACGTTACATCAATGTCCTAGCCGAATAGAAATATGCTTGAGGAAAGCTACTTGCAAATTGTAAACACCACACCACACAGAATCCTTTAGTCTACTAGTTAGCCATCCTAAAGATTTAGCACAACTCCAAATATGCGCTTGAGGAAAGCAAATAAACTTCAGAATTACAGAGCGCTTCTCTGCTAGCCATCCCGATCCACAAATGCTTCATCGCGCTTCTTCAGAGAGAATCCTTGTTCAAACCATCAAAGTAAGGGTGCTCCATAGCTGTCTTTGCTGAAATGCGTTTTGCAGGATCGTACTGCAACATTTGCTACAAGCATAAACAACATATTTAGAACTAGTATTCATCACCATGTAGATTAGCAGAACACTCTATAAAGTACCACAAATCGAGTAATGCAAAAGCTGGCGTACCAACAACAAATCCAGCCCCATCTCGTCCAAATTGGGAACAGCCTTCGACAAACTTTGGGGACTCCACTGGGGGTACTCGTGCCAGTCCTTGAGCTTGCTTACACCTGGCCACACCACCTCATTTGGAGTGCCCAACAACCTGCATCAAAGATCCATAAGCAAAGGAACTAGGCTAATCGACATTTATACAAGTAATTGGCACAATTTCGGTAATGGGGAAGTGGAAATAATGTTAGTGAACCTGAATATATGTAGGAGCTGCTGCAGTTCAGAGTCCCCAGGGAAGAGTGCTTGCTTCGTGACAAGTTCAGCTACAATTCAGAAACAATTTAATAGACTGTTAAAACAATGGCATAAATTTAAAGATTCAAACAGTAAAATCAAATAAGGAACAGTTGAGTACCAAATATACAGCCAACAGACCAAATATCCACTGCAGTTGAGTAATGTGTAGCCCCCAGAAGAACTTCGGGAGCCCTATACCAGAGGGTCAATATCTGCAGCCGTAATTGCACAAATTCATTAGCTACTGTCAAAAGCAACAAGATAACTTGTAACCAAAAGCGAACACATTAACTACCTCATGAGTATACTTCTTGAGTGGCACAGTAAAAGCTCTAGCAAGTCCAAGGTCTGCAATTTTAAGCATCATAGACTTGCGGTCCATCAGAAGATTGTGAGGCTTAAGATCCCTGCGTAAATGGCAAAACAAATCAACCCAACTTAAAAGAAAACTCAAACGGAGAAACAAACCACAAAGAAAAGATAAGAAACATCATGTGGTTTGGGAGTTGATTGACAAAGGGTCACCTGTGCAAAATTCCGTGACCATGGCAAAAGGCAACACCTTTGCAGAGTTGGAACATCAGGCTCTGAATCATCATAAATCACCATTTCAATTACCATAATTTCATGTGTGATTAAGTTGATTGGGAATAAACATTTGGGGAAAAAGAAAATTAAAGAGCAGACCTTAACGGTGGGGGACGGAATGTGCTCTCCAGATTGACGGAAGGTGCGGATGAATTTCTTGAGATCAGTGTCCATGTACTCAAACACCAAGTAGAGTACAGTCTTTCCCTCCTTGTTCTGCCCTTGTTTCACATCCATCAGCCTGTTATGGAATTGGGGTTTAGGGTTTTGTTAATTCACAATTACCAACCAAATCAATCGACTTTACAGTAAAGAAGAAAACCCAAATCAATCAATTTACAGAAAAAAAGAAGAAAACCCAAATTAATCAATTGAAGATTTCATTTCCGTAAACACAAGAAAGAAATCAAACCCTAATTTGTAGAATTAGAGAGAGAGAGAGAGAGAGGGAAGAAAGGAAACGAACTTGACGATGTGGGGGTCTCTGGAGAGCATGCGGAGAATGGAGACTTCGCGGAGAGTGGTGGGAGGGACGCCTTCCTCGTCCTCGTGGAGGCGAGTTTTCTTGAGGGCCACGATCTTCCCAGTCGCCTTCTCTCTCGCTCTGTACACCTTCCCGTAAGTCCCTTCTCCCACCTTCTCCAGCTTCTCGAACGCCTCCATCGCCGATGCTCCTTTATTCGCCGCTCCTCCGATCATCTCCATTTCTCTCTCTTGTTTCTTGATTTGCTGGTTGCTGATTTCAAATGTTCAAATGACAAAGGGGGCAGGGCAGAGCGTCTAAGTTATATATCCGTTAAACGGAAGGGTATTGACGGAAAGGTCAGATGTTTGGTTCAACGGGCAACTCATTTCGAAATTCAAATTGTCCGAGTCACACCTTTTGCCTTTCCGGGGCTTCTACAGATCTACCTGTTTCCTGCCATTCTATATTTGGACCATTCTCTCTCCACACAAAGCCCAATTCGGCGGCCCAATATTACAGTACATCTTATTTATACGAACATTCGTCCTCGTATGTAGTTCAGCTTTTCGTCGATTTATTCTCTGAACTTGTACCTCCTTAATCAAATTACAGCATAACTTTTATTTCAGTCGACTATGCCTTTGACTTTCTATAAATAGTTAATTATTCCTCATCGTCACATGAGAAATTATGTACAAATTAATTATAATGTTTGCCACGATCTTGATTTTTCCTTAATTGAAAGTAGATGCAACTTTTCGCCTCACCAAAACTCAATTTTTTCTCGAGTAAGTTTTATTTGCCAATATTTATAGGGCGACGACTCATCTACCCCTCTCAACCTCAAGTGGCGCACGTTAAGTTTAGGTGATAAATATGAGAATGTCTGGATGGAAATTTTGTAAATCTATGAGTGGGAGAGAGGTGAAACACTCGGAGGCCAAGAACCGAGAAGATGACTTCCTAGCACTCTTTCAAACTCCACATTTACTTGCAATTGACTCTCAGCCTTCTCAGGAAACAAGGGCATAGATAAACTGGACTCTTGTGTTTCACACTGAAGCCTTCTTTTTTTTTGTTGCAGTCTCATTCCCCAGTGTGTCATGTGTACTTAAAACTATAAATACATACATACATAAGTTACTAAGAAATGCTAAGAATACTCTCTTAAAAGTGAGACTCTCCACAGACTCTGGCATCGACTCTTAAAAGTGGGACTCTCCACGGATTCTGACACCTCATGTGTTTGACACAATATTTATAATGTTGGTACGAAAATTAACATTAAATTATAAGGTGGCAGGAAGTCCATAAAGAGTCTCACTTTAAGAGTCTTCTAAGCATTTCTCATTGTATTTAAATCTTAATAAATTTTGGTCTCTCAGCCTGAGATTTTGGAGGAATACACTCAAAACCACATTAATTCTATGGATGTCCACTAAAACTCCATCAATCTCAATGAATTTTAAACTCTTTAATTGACAACATAACTGATTTTCACACTTCTATTTTCTCTTTCGACACGTTATTACTTATATGTCCATCAATTCTCATTTGGTTTATTCAATCCAATAGCCAAAAATAAACAAGAGTGAATAAGGAGAAAATAGCCAAATAGTTGTGAGGACCCCCTTCCCTTCTGACAAAAGGCATTGACCTGGACCAGCATGCCCTCTTATTACATGCCACATTCAAGGGATAGCGGAGGAGAGATTTTTCTCGAGCATCAGGTATTCAAGCGGTGCTTCACATATATCATAATATAAGTTGAGGTAATGATAAATATTTTTTTCATGTCCATCCACTTATTTTATGATATGTGGAAAACCAAAAACAAAAAAAAAAAAAAAAAAAAAATTGTCATTGAGGAGAGAGCACCAAAGTTATTCTACCAAAACCTTTATATACACAATACAATACAAAAGGAAAAACATCAACATTTGTTTCCCCATCCACTACATAAACACTACCTACAGTTAAAACTCTACATATGTAACATTACAACTACTAGCTCTATCATGGGGAAGGAAAACAAAACAAAAAAAAAAATTACCATGTTCCCACATCCCCTACATACCAATCTACCACTACCCAGCAACTAAACATAATGCGTGCAACGGTGAAGAATGCCAACTCCCTCTTCCACCTGTTTTTCTAGTAAACATGAATGTAAAGGTTTCTAAATTTTTAAGTTTAGCCTTACATTCTGAACATTTACTGATATCTTTAACTTCTGCTCTTCCATATCTTTCAAAACGGCAAGTAGCTTTTCTCTGTATGCTTCGCATTGCTGACTTGAAATTTCCAACTCAGCTGCCAACCTTTCAATTTTCTTGCCCTGGTCCTACAACATTCAAAAGAAGGGACAATAATCAGTTGAAAAAGACGCGTACGTGCTACGTGCAAGGCTAGAAGAAAGCAACAAACAAAATCAAATGCAAGAAACAACAAGAGGAGGTAGGTAATGTAGAATTCTGTGAAGAATTTTGGACTTGGAAGTTGGAACAATTTCCAAAACCATTCAGTATCACTAATCAAAAGACAGAGTATACCATCCAAAAGTCTATACAAAAACAAATACCCAAAATCTAAAAAAGAAAGAAAAAAAGGGCATCCGTGCTTTGGAACCTTTTCCTTTTTCGGTCTGTATGCTTTTTAAACTAAAAATCTACCAAAAACCAATGACCCAATTCCCCTCAAAGTTTCACTCAATTCCTATCAAATTAAGATGTGCATGAAACGTAGTCTACGCTTCTGCTTTAGAAACAAAAAACTACTTCCTAGTATATTTTAAATATCCCAATTTATCTTCTACAAAAAAAAACAAAATGCAAATTTAAAATGATATCTCAGATATCATTTCAGATTTTGCTTTAGACAGTTTTCGAGAAAAGACCTGCATCAAAAGAAAAAGAGTAAGGATCTATACTGAAGAGATACACAGAACATTGAGTACACAATTATGTTTTGAAAACAAACAACAAAGTTTTACAATGCAGAGACCCAGCAAAGAGAACCCTCTTCCGACTTCCAGGAAAATAACTTACCATGGTACAAGACTGAAGTTTCTGACTGCAATTTACTGGGGTATTCTGTGCAATTGCAAGACCATGCTTCTTTGCTGCAGCAACCTCATTTGCAGCTTCGTGAAGAGCGTCCATTGCCACATTATAAACATGCACAGATTCAGCCCCTTCTTCTACATATTTGATTGCTTCCCTGCGTAGATTGTCATACCGAGCAGCAGTGGAATCTTGAGAATCATTCGGCAATCCAAGAGTGTTCTCATCCCATAAAACTCCACTTTTGGCTTTATTTGTCCAACGTTTTAATATATAGTGTGATGGAAGTGTAAGAACATTGGTTACTCGGAAGACTGCTAATATGTGCCTACATATAATGCCTGAAAACTCAAACAATTGGCAGCTGCAACGGGCTTTCTTCTCAAAAACGTTGAACTTAACAGAGTGCATCTTGTGGTCTTCCCCAAATTTTGCCACCCGATACATGGTTTCTGATCCTGTATCATCAACCACAGTTGCAGGATAAGCAAGCGTCTCAACTAATTCCTCTTGGAATTTCATGAATATTATCCTTGTATAAAGTTTGGCAGCTTGTTTTTCCATTGGAGATGGCGTCCTCAGAATTGGAGAGCTGTTCATTGTATCATAATCTGCCTTTACTTCCTTTTCATGGCGAGTGGCAATTGCTTTTTCATACTGCTTTATCAGCACCTGAATGCTAGTTGATGCGTTTATATAGCCATCAAAATAGGAGTTTATATTATCACTTCCTTGGGTTGCTGACATCTCACCAAAAAATGTATCCTGGAGAAAAACTGGCACCCATTGTTGCCGAGCATCGTATATTGACTGAAGCCACTCATTATCCCCAAGATCATATCTTTGAACTAGGGACTCCCAACATGACTCAAATTCCTCAATTGTCTCTGTCACATTGATGCACTTCAGCAATTCAGCTTCAAAAGTGGGGTGTGAGTGGTATATGTCGGACAATTTCTCTTGAGCTTCTCTGAATACGTTCCATTTACAAAACCGGTGGCGAGTTCTGGGGAATACACGCACAACAGCAGCTCGAATGATTCTATCCTGGTCTGTTGTGAGTGAGACAGGATAGCGGCTAGACATTGCAGCCAGCCAAGTCTGGAAGAGCCAAACAAATGAGGACTCTGACTCATTAAGGAGTAATGCACATCCAAATAAAACAGGCTGTCTGTGATGATTCCACCCGGTAAAAGGGGCAAATGGGACACGGTATCGGTTTGTCCTATAAGTTGTGTCAAATGTTACAGTGTCTCCAAAGTAGTCATAATTCATTCTCGAATTTGCATCAGCCCAGAAAATGTTTCCCGTCGAGTTCTCAAAATCACCCTGGACAGCACAAAAGAAATCAGGATCCTCGACCTGCATTCGCTTCAAATAGTCAAAAACGACCTGACCCCCACTCCCAAGAGTTCTCTGCCTGCTGCTACTCATATAGTTCTGGCAATCAACTTTTGTGAAACCAACGTTATTAATTCCACCTGACTCCTTGATAAGCACAGACATCACTCCACTAGGACCCATGCCAGCCGCTTGAAGGGTATCAATCAGGCTTCGAGCAGGACCAGAGACATGCCTATGCGAACGGAGACAATGCACCCTATCCGGAGGCACAAGCTCATGGTTATGTTCCTTTACCAGCTTTGAAACAGCCCATCGTCCTGAAGTCTGTTTCTTGACGGTCATCTGTGCTTTACAACCAACTCTAGTAACCGTACGCTGGCGCTTGGACCTATTTTCACCACCGTTGCGGCGAAAGCCTTCACGGGAGCAAACAATTTGGCGGCATATGATGGAGCCATCGCGACGGGAGCGCTGGTAGACGCTGACGCGGGTGCTGAAACCAACTCGACGGGCATAAGAATTATAGAAAATGCGGGAGGCCTGTTCAGAGTCGAATTCCATGCCCTCATAGGGTTCAAGACTGGGGTCCCCATCCCCATTAGGGAAATCATCACGAGACCTAGGAGAATTGGAGGGTTGAACCAAGTGATCATCGAAAATATCATAGCTATGATCAGTGTGTTGTAAGTGGAGGGCAGTGGCGGCGTCATCTTCTTCGCCAAATTCCGCCACTTGGTTGTCAGAGTCAATGTTGAGAGGCTCAGAGTCCATCGCTGAATACAATTTATCTAGTCTCTAATTTCTGCAGTAATTTGGATATCTTCTTCAACTAACTATGTGAAAATTAAAACCCACTGGCAGTCTACATCTACAGCCTACAGGGGTAGTGGAAGAGAGAGAAAGCGAAGTAACTGACCGGAGAGAAAGAGAGAGAGAGAGCTTCACTAAGCAACAGGAGGAAGATGTGGGAAGTCGCAGTTGCAGGCGAGCTTCAAAGGACCAGAACACCGCAGCTGATATTCAAGTTTCTTAATTTAGGGTTTTGCATTTTTGATGGAAATGTGAGATGAAACAAAGTAAAGAGCTTTGCAGTTTCGGTTGAGTGT